GAGGCCCACAAAATTGGGCTTGTATTTTACAATACTACCATTGACTTGCGATCGGCAGTCAAGTTATAAAATTCAAAAGAGAAGCCGCGTGTCGCCGAATAAGAAAGAAGGTGATAGCGTGAAGGCAAAGAAAGAAGACCCGTGGAACTATAGAAGTCCTCTAGAATCAATTCTCTATTATTTAATATTAACTGGTAAGCCAACGTTTCACACAGCCGGCAATAATAATTAAGAAACTTTGTACTAAGTAAACGGTAATAAGTTAAACTTAACAAGTCATGGTATTAACAAAACATTGAAAGAGAGAGAGGGTGCTTTTCAAACGGATATATATTATTTATTTTAATGGTGTTTTATTTTTAATGTATGTTTTTTTAATTTTAATTTTATTCTTTAACTTATAATTTTTAAAATTATATTTTATTATTTATTTCAATTTATTTTTTATATAATTATCACTATTCAATAACTCGAAACACTAAAAAAAAAAGTATTTTTATTTTGCATCACCTCACAAAACACTATTAATTTTAATATTTTCTCGTTCTATTTTTTTAATCCATGTTTTATTTTTATTCTTTAATATTTGATTTTTAAATAACTTAACATTATGTTTTATTTTTATTTGTTTTTATGTAGTTAGCAAAGTCTTATAACTCGAGTCAACGTTTTTGTTGGTTAACCCAATTTTTTTTATCAACTTCATCTTTTAATATTTTATTTATTAATCATATGTTTTCATGATTTTTATTGATTACTTTTATATGAGGTTATCTAAATCTTATAATCAAGATTATAGTTTGGCGGGCTAACATATTTATTTTATTTTAAATTAATTTTTTTAAATTTTTTTATTTAATATTTTGTTGATTGGGGAATTATGTTTTTTGATTTGTTCTGGCTTGTTCTCTATAAGATTATCTTGATTTTATGACTCGATTTACATATTTGATAGGTTAATTTATTTTTATTAGTTATCTAGATTGTTTTAAATTCATTAAATTAACTTTAAATCAACTTTAATTTTACACATAAATAAGTTTTTTACATAAAAAAATTGATTCAAATAGCAAGCACTGCAGGCAGTATTCTAGTAGTACCACTAAAACATGTGTCATATTATTAAATAATTGACATTAACGATATATCATTAAAAGTATACACTATAGTTTTTTTTGTACTTTTCAACGTTTATATAGGGTATTTTTTAAAAATATTTTTTTACATTGAAATATATTCAAGTAATTTTTTCAGATTTTTTTCCACATTAACATATCAAAATCATAAAAAAAAATAAAAAAATCAAATTAATATTTTATTATAACAAACACGTTTTTAAAACAAATTCAACCACAGTTAAAAATGCAATACCGAAGAAGCGTAAAGAGAGCAAGGGCTGTCCGCACACTGCCCGCATCACATTCCACCTTAATTACCTAGAGAAAAGCAAAGCAAAACATATAAAAGTATTACAATGATATCTTTGTCCCAAGCTTTTCAGCAAATAATAGATTCATCTTCACAAACCTTTGCGTTTATTAATAAATTCCACACAGCTAAAATATTAATTGTAGTACATCACTTGCAGACATGGATGTTTCCCTGTTCTTTTCTCACTTTTACCCGATTTGCCGAACACAGAATTTAATAGGACAGGATGGCTCAAGGAAACATAAGTATACCAAGAGAGGCATATAAAATAATGCAAGAACTACAAAATAACAGTTGCTATTTTTGAATCCTGTTACAGAGTTTTTGTCTAGGTTATGAGCTAGATTGTTGTGTCAGGACTCTTTTATTTTAAGAAAAAAACTGTAGTTAATTAATTATTGTATAGTTTGATATAGTATTTTTATGTATTGCTTAGTGTTGGCTTGTGCCATGCAGGAAGCACTGAAGGAATGCCAAGATCTTGGGTGATTATAGAACACATTTTTAATTTCTTCCCAAAAACACTAGGGCGAATTTTTTTAAATTTTATTATATATAATATATATGGTTACATGAGAATTAATTAATAATCCATATAGTATTGAATATTTAGGACTCCCGTGCCTTGTAGTTTATGCATACAAGCATTGTATTTCATACTCTAATTATATATAACATCAATATGATTTCGCAAATAATTAGATAATCATAGATCTTAATTATGGCGAAAGCTAGCTAGCTCTACATGCCGGGATCATGAGATAAAAGATTGATTATGATGATTATTTGTGCTCTCACCACCTCAACATCGAGTTATGATTGGAGTGAAAATCTTGTCATTTCTGGATGATGGTAACTCGTTTAAATATAAATCCATTTTTTTATTTCTATCGAAATACAGAGACTAGAGAAGGATAAGTTCCATTATATGTATAGAAAACAATAACCTCAACATAATATATCGAATGGTAAGAATATGAAATACAGCAAAAAAACTACATTTATTTATATTAATTAATTAATTCACATCTTGACCTGTTCAATGGTTGTTGTCAGCATCAAGTTCGATATCCATCCCAATCCCATAATGTCAAATCCGGGAAGCATTTGGACCCTGCGATTTGCTGTAACCTAATAGTATTAACTTTATCGTCAGATAATGGGGAAGAACAAATACCAGTCCTTTTCATATTAATTTTAGCTGTTTAATTAATAATTATCACCAGAGAGTAGAAAGATCCGATGGAGTGTATGGAAAAGGGATGTCTGGAGCCACGTGGCTCGAACCCAAGTTTGATATTATCGTTGCTTGATTCAAGGAATGCAACCACGTGACCAGTTTAACTTCTGCAACCAATTTAAAGCTGATCGATTTCTTCTTGTTGATAGCAGGAGCTATATTTGAGATGGGGAACAATGGGCTCGAATGATCCTACAAGATGGAGTACAAACATGATCCGTGACTGTGAAGGTCCCAATTTGACATCACAAGAGTGGTCTACTGAGATGGTGAACAGACCGAGGAAATTAAGTAGGCTCTGGTGCTGGTAGGGGCCAACCAAGAGGCCATCATCTGCACTGCTCCAATATTAGACAACTGGTTTTATGCCAACTGAGGCCCTGCCCCATGCATGTCTCTTTTTCCAGATACCCTATCAAGAAAATATGATTACAATGGCGGATTACAAGAAAAAACAACTTGATAATTGCTGTTGGCAAGTCTCACCTCCTGCTGATAACTTAAATTCAGTTAGGTACGTTTTTTCTAACTTTTCCCAAGCTTATTAATAAGGGAGATGGGCTTGCATGACCTGGTTGAAACAGAGAATGTGACGAGAAAGTTAAAAATAACTTGATGGTACACAGGCAACCCTCCTACAAAAGTTTGGTTGGTCTGGATGGTATTTAATATGGGCGAGTTATTGTATGAGTAGCTATTTTGATAAATATTTACATTATTAGAGATGAATAAAAAATCATTTGGTGTATGTTTTGAGAAAAAAGGGAAGAAAAATGAATTTTACAAGGGCATCGTTAACTTTCTTCTAAACATATCCTAACCTGGATTTCAGCCGTGTCCATAGTAAAGGCATGTAAACATCTGTCTAGTAAATTTGTTAAGTGATGGTTTGTTTTTACGTTATAATTAATATTTTTGTAAGCGTTTTGGAATGATTTTAATGTATTTGGAATGATTTTAATGTATTGATATTAAAAATAAAAAATCTAAAAATATATAGTTTTAATTGAAAATCACTCTGCATCACAGTATTAAAAAAACACATGTACTAACAAACAAAGCATGTAGGAAGCCTTATTTTCTTCCATGGGAGAAGAAAAGCTAACAAACAAGAGGTGAAGAATAAGTGAGAGGTCATGTATTCTTCCCAAAAAACAAAAAAGAAAAGAAAAAAGAAGAAGAGGAAGGTCATGGGTGAGGAACAGTGCACTATTTGTAGTCTTGTTGGTGAGAGGTATTATCGTACCCAAAAAGCAAAACCTTGAAGATGGAGTTTGGGCCCATTTATGACAAGAGCGGACCAAGCCTGCTATTCTATGGGGATTTTTACCTAAAAGGATTTCAATCACTTGGAAAACCAATCTTGCATGGCAATGTCTCAAGAATTTGATCTTGCTGTGATACAGGGGGAAGAGAAACAGAGAAATGAAATGAAAGCTAGGTTTTCACGTGACAAAATTTGGCGTGATGGAATGGAAGAGCTATAACCTTTCCCTGCTTCAATGGCAAGAAAATTATTTTCTGTTCTTACTCCTACTATAAGCATAGCATGTGCTGTATAAGCTGTCTTCCCAATTGTCACCAACAGCAATTTCTCTGTTTTCAGTGGAAGACAACGATAGGGAGAGAGCACGAGGGTGTGTTTTCTTGCAGAAGTTCTCTCCAGCAAAGGCTGGTATCAATCAACATAGGTTTCTTTATGGTCAAGGAAGAGACCAAAATCCAAAGGCCAGAAAGCGGATACGTGGACAAAAAAGCATACAAAAAGGTTATCCATACCATCAGCAAGGTGCAACACCACAATCAAGGACATTAGCAGCCATGATATTGCTAAAACTTGCAGCCAACACCAAGAATGTACTCGGCAGGTAGGCATTGATGCAATGCCTCCAATTCAACTACTTGCACGACAACAAATTAGTTAAAGCATCAAAACTGGAGGTTTTTCTGTCAAATGGCATCAATATCATTTATTTCCATTATATAGCAGACTGCAACAGTCAATGGCATATATACAAGATATGTACAATATTAAGAACTTCATCAATTGAAAAATCAAATAAAAAAATTTCCCAGTGACTGCACACAAAATACTAGGGCAAGCTATATTCTTGGGAAAACTAAATTCTAGCCAACACACTGACACTCCTCTCATTTCTAATGAGAAATAAATCATGACTGCAAGGAAAATAAACATGGCTCAAACCTAAATAAGCATGGAAGAATATTTCCTAATGGATCATCTTGATGCAGAGAAGATACACGAGGCAGACTATAAAAACAAAAGAAAAATCAGAAAATCTAACAAAATTTGTCCCTCTTCATGATTTTCCCTTTCCTGCGGACCCTTCTCTTTGACTACGGAAGTGACTGAGAAGCTGCTGGGCCTACATAACACATACAAACATACATTATCATCTAGCATATCTATCCATCATCATCATTAAATGTCAAAAAACTTCTTGGTCTTGATTCCCCTATAGTTAAAATATAAAAAAAATAATCATAAGGAATACAATCACAGTCAACCCACCATGCTTCCTTTCCCAACTGGCAAAAGGTACCAACAGCCTCCACTATAATTTGGCTAGCTAGCAGATACCAGAACAGCTACAGTACAAACAAGGAAAGATGAGATTAGCTGCATACCTTTTCCTTCGCTCTTGGGGTGCCTGACTGGGACAATGCAACAAGTGGAGGAACAGCCCCTTCTTGCAAAACAAGGGTACAAAACTTGGGACTATTAAGGCACAGCTGCATCAGTATGGAGGCAGCATTCTCCTTTCCTCTTTGAGATCCTGATTCAACAACCTCAACCAGCAATGGGATGCCTCCTGCTTTTGCAATGGCCATGCGACCTTCGCCGATTGTTGATAAGTTTGCAAGAAGAGCGACTGCCTTGTCAACCATCCCAGTGACAGGATCCATCAACTCAACTAGATACTTCACAGCTCCAGCTTGAACTATTCGAGCCTTGTTTTCATGAAAGATTGAAAGGTTAAACAAGGCAGTAGCTGCATCCTTTTTACCTCTTATAGTCCCAGAGGCAAGAAGATCCACCAAGGCTTTGACAGCACCAGAACGGCCTATCTTGGCTTTATATTCTTCTAAAACAGAGAGGCTAAATAGAGCTGCTGCAGAATTCTCTTTGGCACCATCATTTCCTGATCTTAAGACATGAATAAGTGGTTCTATTGCTCCTGCTTCAGCAATCATGGCTTTATTCTCTTCGTTGATTGATAGATTCAACACGGCTGTGACAGCATGTTCCTGGGTTATCTTCACTTCTGAGTACAGCAGTGAAAGTAATGGTCTGATAGCACCAGAATGGCCTATAATGATGCGATTCTCAACGTTGTGCTTTGCTAGAAGCCTTAGTTCTTCAGCTGCTTTAGTCTTTACTTCATTTGATTGGCTTTTAAGCCCTTCAACCAACTTCTTGACTTGAGAAGCTGTACATAGATCATGAGAACCTGAGTCAGAAAACTGGAGGGAGTTTGTTCTGCTATAGTTATGGCTTCCATTGCTGGCCATATCATCTTGTGTTTTAGGACTGTGAAATTGCCTTCCTGATGAACAGGGAGAAAATCCTTTTACTTTATTGGAAGGAGAAACAGCAGGACATTCAGAAGTTATCTCTCCTGACAAGTCATTCACATTGTCACGCATGGTTAATAACTTCAACATCTCATCTGATGCTGGAGGCACATATTCAATAGTGGAGATGGCACTTGAGGTCGATTCACTCCTGCTATGTATATATGAAAGTTCATGGGATGGGCGCTCAAAGCTTCCAGTCCCCATGACATGATTAAATTCTTCATCACTTAATCTAGATGAAACACCAATCTTCTGTTTCTCAAATCCATTCCCAACTTCAATGGATGATCTAGATGTAGAATTGCTACTGTGCAAAGAACGATAACGAAAACTATCCAAGTGCAATAAATCATGATGTGACGGGATAGAGTTGCTTGAAACTCTCACATTGTTTTCCTCACACCAATTTGCTATCATAGCTTTGACTGTGTAATTGGGAATGAGATTTCTGTGAGAGAGTGTCTGACGGGTCCTAGGGCATATGCTCAGCCCATGATCAAACCACTTCTGGATGGACACCCTATCATAAGTTTGACCAGAAGCCACGATCACTGGGTCTAGCATGAGCTCCAAAGATAATGGACACCGAAAGTACGGAGGGATTGGGGCACCACTCTTAGGATCAAAGAGCTCAACTTTAAGCAACCAATTACACATGTGAGAGATCAGATCCACAATTTGGTCAATTTGATCCAAGTCCCCTTTTGCTTTATTGACTTTAACATTCATCCTCTCCTTCTCCACTGCCACACTTTCTTTCAAGAGTTCCTGATTTGATGTTAAACCAAGTGTTTCAGTAAGTTTCATAAGATGATTAGTGCAAGGAGAAACATCATCTCTTAGACTTCTCAGAGCCTCTTCTATAAGTTCTGTTATTGTTTCATGTTTCAAACCTTGAAGTTCCTGCATACAGTGCTGGAAACATTTAAACAGAAATCAGTCTCACTCTAGACATATGCAACTAAACAACTAAAAAAGTATAATGGATAGACCAATCTGATAGATTAGAACACATTAAAAATATATATACATAAAATGAAAGATATAAAAAAGTCAACCACCAGGACTGTCTAGTTAAAAAGAAAACAGTGTGACACAAATATTCCAACTCTATCCACACCTGAACAATAGTTAAAGTTGAAGCGGATGGAAAACTCTGCAACAATCTACATAATATTTGACAAATCTCCAATGCAGAGCTCTGGATTTTCTTCAACAGTGCTTCACTTTGCTGGACCTGGACAGAGAAAAAACCACATGTCCATTAAGAGTTTGAACCTCAACTACCTCCCCGGACATCCCAAGTCAAAGCTCACATGTTCGAATATCATAAACAGCTACATTTGATCGCCAAGGAAAAAAGAAGAGAAAATAAAAGAAATAGATTCAATTACACTTTCAGGTTGCATTTGTTCTTCTTACTTGCAAGCATAACATAATCTTATAGAATTCATATATGTTGGCTTCTTTAGCGTGGATCACGAAGAAAGTTTCAGACTAACAATTACATGATAGAAGACTACTTTTGTTGCTTAGTCTTTCAAGCAACAATATGAGCATCATCATGGAAGAACCAGCACACATAAATAATGAAGGCCAATATTTTGAACTCCATCTGAAAGCATTACACACTGTATATTTGATCCACTACACACAAATAAGCTGTTCAGAATTACTCACGCTGCAAATCTTGCTCATCTGCGGACACCAGTTCTCCATAAATTCACGAGCCTCATTAACAGTTGTATCAAGTTCTTCACACTCTTTACATAGGACCTCATCTGAAGATATGCTGTAATCAACAACTCCATCAAGAACTGGTTTCAAATGCTTTAACATCATAACCATGCTCTTATAATCCTTTTGAATAGGCATAAACTTCCTTGTCTGACATGAAACAAGATGAATGAATCGAGAAATACTGTTGATAAGACATCTAACAGATGATGTGTCCATTGACCTGCTTTTCATAAAGCATAGCAAAGAGATTGCATTAAAACAAAAGAGGAAAAAAACAAACATTTTTAATGCAAAAGGACTTTCCAATCAGAATAGTGTCAGACTATTTCTCTACAACAACAGTGATAGGTTTGCGGTTCTTGATCTTGATCACAAATTTTTTCGTGTAACCTTTACAAGATTTCACAGTGCTTTCACACGATAAGATTTTTGTGTTTTTCATTTTAAGAAGGGACAAAAGGTCGGTCTAGAATAGAAAACACTAAATTTATACAGATCCCTCATCACGTAGTAATTATTTCATTATTTAGACATGTAAATCCAAAGATGAATGGGTAAAGGACCATCAAACATGCATAAATACCAAAATCAGAAATCATCAACATTTGGTTGATAATTATCATGGGTGAGCCTAATCAATTAGCCAAGCCTAGCAGCAAACTCCACATGCTCACAGTCAACAAGGTCAGTAAATCTACATAAGGCAGCACCACAATGATGCTTGGACCAAAATCAATGAAATGCCTTCCCTCCAAATAAAGCTGAAGTAAGATGTTCTATTCTCAGCTGGTCTCGGCATTTTATGCATTCTGTCTCCACTTGCCACAAGAGGTCCTGACCCAGGCATCATGCAAGTGCCCACAAGTTATCCTATGGGGTCCAGTAAGCGGCATCATTAAACGCAACAAAAAGCTATCTCAAACCTCAATTCCATCTAAGAAAATTCCCTTCTACAGTGTGCCTAGCAGTGTTGCTTAATTGGAGGCAGAGATTTTACATGGGAACAAGAGGACATATAATGAATTCACATGTTGCTGAACGACCAGAGATTTTTGTGCATCTAACCCTACAATAAAGGAAAGACGAGCCCTTCAACAAATATGCAACAACATGCTAAAAAATCATTTCCTTGAATTTGCTATGACTTTGACACTAGTCAGACCTTGCCCCTTTAGAAAAAATAAGCAAAGCCATTGTTTTGGTAACTTCTTTTATTTCATAATGAGGTGATTCCATTTTACCATATCGGAAAAAAATAATCAATATCTCAATTGTTCCCTGCTTGCCATCAATAAAACAAAAGAGAGTCCTTAGCTTTCATTTGATGACTACCATTTTAAATATACATTTGGTTGCTAATAACGCCTGGGGGAATAAAATTAAAATCTTTGACCTCTGCAATTGCTTACAATCTTCTAAAGACCATTTGACCAAGTAGAACAGAACTGATCACTCTAATTCAAGACAGAACAACAAGAACCCTCTATTGCTTATAATCTTACAAACATCATCTGACCAAGAAAAACATAATTCACATTCAGTTCTTAGAATCAAAACAAAATGAGATCTAAAATTACTCTTTTCTTCTCAGTTTCCACAGACATCTAATATTTCTAGCCCCAGGTAGGTTGCAAAACAGAAACAGAAAACCAGCCCACGATAAAAAACGATTTGGTAAAGAATATTGCG